GTGTGTGTGTGTGTGTGTGTGTGTGTGTGTGTGTGTGTGTAGAAAACAGCTATTTCTTCATTAAGTTTGATAAATCAATATCAATAATCTTGAAGTGCATTATTGGAAGGTAATAAAAAAAAGTAAAATAAATAAAATTGGACTTCTCTCCTTTAAAAAGAATTAAAACTCTCCCATTAATTTTATTTTTGCACTTATTGCTTTATCACGAAATTGATTGAGAACTGCAATAAAATATAAAGATTTAAATCTCATAATATTTCACAAATTTTACTGTTCATCGAGCATGTTGCACGACGCATGTAAGCCCTGTTAAAATTCAAGTTTTACCCATATATTTCACCAATTAAATAAATTCATTATATGCTAATTACAATTATAAATACGGGCATTTAACCCTTGCCATTTAAAAACCTATATGCTTTGAAATTCTAGTAAGGTTCTCGTTCAGTTGTAGCCATCAATGAGACAATTTGAAAGTGCTTGATTGATAAATAGAAAATCTTTAAAATTCTTAAAATTAGGCATACAATTAGTTTTAATTGTATTGGAAAGTACGGACATATTCAATTTTGCATTTGAAGGCCATAAAATTGGAATTCAATTGGGTAGAGAATGATATTTTTCTTCATAAGAGGAGAAAAATCCATCCCTGTGCCATATAAAGACGATAATGCTTTATGAACCTAAGATACATTCTCGAAACAAACAAATAAATAGAAACTGTTAAGGAGCTTAAAGCACAAATTCTCACAGCAAGAAAACTTGAGCGCAAAACTGAAAGAATAAGAAAAACGCCTGACCACATGAATGCTTGATTGAAGTAACTTTATCGAGTAAACAGTTTTGCAAGTACAGCAACTCTCCTTCAATTTCATCCGTAGGTGAGATATCTAATATGTCCATATTTTTAACAAATTCCAATTGGTCCGAATTTGCAGCAATGAGCAAACAACCCTCGACTGCCTTGGCATCAGTGGTTCCCAATTTATCTGCACGAACAGCCATTTCAGTGGAAGCATTCTATTATCAACATGATCTGACAATGAAAAATGAACAATGCAACATAATATAAAAATATTTCGTACTACAACAGATAGAAATTAACAGAATCACACCATTACAGCTAGCTTTAATGATTCTTTCTTTGGGAAGTAAGCAATGCTGAATTTGAAGTTCTCTCAACTTTTTCAGAATGAATGGATGAATAAATGAACTTGAACATGGCCCAATATTTCTGCATTCATAGAATGAGAAATTTATAGGGTTATACAAAAAAAAAAGAAAAAAGCATATTATCATAATACTAACGTAACAAAGCTCCAAAAAATCAAATGGCTGTCAGAAAAAAAAATAAAATAAAATAAAATAAATTTACTGGTTGTTTGAGTTGTCAGCCAAACTAGCATCATAATCTGGACACTCTAAGCTGTCAGTCTTTAGCTCAACAACCCCAGCCTCATAGTTTTGATTATTTTCCACAAAAAGACGTGAGCAATCTGGTACTTCTTTCAAGTCACCTCCTTCAGTTTTATCTGGAGTTACCACCACTTTTTAGTTTGATAAACCGCCATCCGCAAGATAATCAAATAATACTCATCCAGAAACTTAGATCTAAGAATATGATATCATCAAAGTATCACTGTAGTCATGCAAATTTTTCATAGTTCGTAAAAACCATAAACAGCATTTCTACACATCAACATCCATTCTTCACTTTCAGAGACTACATGTTTTTCTCTCGCTTAGTTCCCGGATGCAAGATTGTTGAGCAGTCTCAATTTTCCAGTTCCAATGTGCTGAACAATGCCTATTGGAAAACTAGCCCGGAATAAACAGCAATTAAATTTCAAACAAAATTTCTGACCGACTGAATTATGGAGAATGGATACATGTAAAAAAATCATATCCAAATCAATGTTTTTGGATAATGGATACTTAGGGATAAGACCTGTTCGATAAGCAAACCAGTATCACAACTTTATATTTCAAAAGAAAAGTTCAATACTGTATCAAAGTCAGGAGTCTCATTAAATAAAATAAAAAAGGAAATTTTTTAAATAAAATACAAATAGGGCATCGTAAACAAAAAAGGGTGCTTATAATTTTTGGAAAGATAGCTATACAGTTTAAACTCAAGCTAAACGAGATATGATTCTAAACAGTACAATGAATAAACCTCTAAGAATATTGCAAATGTTTAATTTTCTTTATGCATTAACAAGTGCATTAGTTTCATTTTGTTCTGTTTTTCATCATGCTTAGCTTTTGAAAAATAGTTTTATTTTTTTGCAAAATATGATTTAAAAATCACAAATTTGAAGTCCACCGCCTCAATGAATTTATGACATATTAACTAGTGGAGCAGCTCATTTCTATTCAAGAGTATTATCATTTAATACAATACAGTGGAACAAAATAAACACTATGATATGCAAACATCCTGACCTATTTGTATCCAGATTATTCAAGACTATTGTTTCGCCATAACATTAACTACCACCAAGCCTCAAACAAATTCATTTTTCATAACCAAATGTATTACAGAAAGCTCATGTTGCAATGATACCAGATAAAAAAAAATTTAACGCTATAAAGAATTTGATGATGTCTTCAAGGCATAAGAAAAATTAGGATAAATGATAATGCTATATCAATAATATTTTGATCGTTTTTTTGCACTTTACTAGCATTTCTTACAAAAGAATATATGTGATACCACACTTGAAAGTTTATCTGAATTAAAAACTATAAAACTCTCATCAGAAATATTCCTTTGCATTAAATAATCAAAATAAACTTTGATACGAATAATAAAAAGATTATAAAAAAAATCAGCCTTGGAAAGGGCTTCCAAGCACAACAAGTAGCTAAGGTTTGATTTTGTTATGCAACGTGAACGATAAATTCAAAATAAAGAGTCATTTATAGTTTCTCTAGTGTTGATGGTTTTTCTGGTCGTAAATAAAACTAAAACATACAAAAGAATTTGGAAATAAAACTATGAGTACTCAAAAATTGCATGATGAGCTATTTTTACGGACTTGACAAAAACATCAAAACTAAGCCAAGTGTGATAACTAAGAATCACAAAAAGGATGTTCATGAAATAAAAATAGAGTACAAAGAAAAGTGTGTTAAAATGCTAAAGAATAGCACCTCCTAATAAAAATGTTGTTGAAAATAGGCTCTGTTATGACTATTTAGAAAGGAGAGTTAAATACATATCATAATGGCGGTAAACAAAATCAAGGAAACAAGCATAGAAAGAATGGCAATAAAAACAGTAGTCCGGAAATTGTAAATTAAAACTTGAATAAACTAAAATTAACACCACATACAGCACAAAGAAAAAAAAAGGAAGAGTAATAAATTCAAGCTCAAGCAGTTGGACTAAGGCTAATCATAATTATACATAATAATGAAGTAACAAAGCATGAACAATTTAAAAAACTTTCTTCTTAACAAGTTGACCAGAAATTTTGAGAAAATGGAATCAAAACCTCATGTAACACCAAGCATGAATAAAAGATCCTGAGGATTCATAAAGTTCGCCACAAATAATTTTTATTAGCCATACAATGAAGAAGATCTCACTTAACACTCATCAAGATAACCTCATTTACTCATCAAGATAACCTCATTTAACACTCATCAAGATTAATAGAGGAAAATCCATGATGCCTAATTCAAATAAAAATTTGGAAACGGCTAACAATCTGCAATTCTGGGGATTTCAAATAAAAATTAAGAGAATTAGAGCTTGTTTGGGATCAATTTTGTTTTTGTTTTTTTTTTTCATTTTATTATTTATATTTTTGCTTCTTAAAATATGCTTATTTAGTGTGTTAATTACATGTTTTAATTTTTTATTTAAAAAAAAAATTAAAATAGTTTAAAACAATCAAAACACTTTTAAACACTTTTAGATGTTTTGACTGATTTATTATAACTTACCAAGTATATTTTGTTTCAAATCAAAACATAAAAAAACAAATAAATATAGAAAATAAAAGTAATCCCAAAAAGCACCTCAGTTGACACATCAGTTACCTAATCAATAAATTTATACTTTCACATGAAACTAAAAGAAACGAGAAAAACTGACAAGAAATTTAGTGGCTTGTATAATCTAAAAAATAGGAAAAGAATATCTAGAGCCCTAATTAAATGATAATATATGATGGATTAACCATATGGTGGTTGCTACTAATGCAATTATTAATGAGAAAATTATAAATGTTATTAGTGTATTAATGAAAACATTATAAATGTTATTAGTGAATATACAATATAAGTTGGATTAAAACATATTTGAAATGTCAATTTTACGAAAAGATGTGTGAACTATTAATAACAAATCTCAAATGATAGAACTCTTTTGAATAGGATGTGCTACGATAGGATTCATAATTACCATGAAATAGAATGTTAAAAATAAAAGATTGAAACTATACTTGATTTGATAGTAGCATAAAATCTTGCAATAGCAAAACTATAATATAAGAAATGAGAGAACTAGGTTATTTTCAAAAGTCAACTTACTAAATCATAAATATTAATTAATATTTCAAAGAAAAGAAAAATAACTCGCAGAAAAAATTGAAAGATATTTTCATAAAAATTTGAAGTATTAATCAAAAATTATTAGAGGTAGATGTAAAGTTTAGAAGTATAAAAAAACTAAACCAAACAATTGAAGTAGGATAAGAACGTACAAATTAGGCGAGAAGTTAATCTTTTAGGAGAAGTTTTTAAATAGATAAAAAACATAAAATTGAGTCTAGCTTGATGATGCCTCATCCGTGCACTCCCATCGCCTCTCAATCAATCTCTAGTTCTTCACACACAATTTGACGAGTATCCTTGATTTTTTTAAGTATTCTTTTATCACTTCAACATTTATATTTTCCACTGTTTTCTTTTAAATTGATGAAAATTTTTGTTCAGAGTGCCTCATTATATTTGTTGGAAATTATTACCTAAATTAGTTTATATTTGAATAATTAAATAACTAGTGTATGCACAAGTTTCTGCATAGTTTTTGGTTGTGTAAAAAGATTTCTACAAAAGTAGATTTAACACCACAAACCATATTCAACAAAGAATGGATAAACGTGATAAAGCCTACTCTAAATTGTAGGAATAGCAAACAATGGTAATGAATAAGAGGATATTCAGCTGCGTCTATGAGTTCCAAGTTTGCATGCTTATTTATGACAACATCTAAAACTAAGAGAATTACAAAACAAAATATCTATATGACTGAACCCAATATTTAATACACTAATGATTCAAGAAGATAAAAGCATACCTTCATCTTCATAATACTTGACATAAAACTAAGAGAATTACAAAAAAATATATATCTGACTGAACAAGTAAATATATAGTAAAAAATTGACTCAAGAAGATATAAGCATACCTTCATCAACATAAATTAGCTCTCTGGAAGCATTTGATTCCACAAAACCAGTAGTATTTCCCATGGTCTAAGAATATTCAAGACAAGAAATTCATACATTAAAATAAGGGCCAGCAAATTAAGAATTTGAGTACAAGTCAGTTTGCAGGAAATTAAATAAAAACGGCTAAAGTTATCTTTCTAAGAGATTTATAAATTAAAAATTACCAATTCAGAATGTGGATTTCAAAATTTTCTAAAAGCCAAATCCAACAAAAACATCATAATTCTCAATCACATGTATCACAAATTAGAACTGAAATTTGTTAGGAAGCACATCATTCCATGCATGAGAATTATTAAAAAATAAATATTTCAAGGACTTCAAGTTGTTTGTGTCCCCAACGAGAAAACTTGTTACAATTCAGAAGACAGAAAAAAAGGCTTTCCAGTTTAATCAGTAGAGTATATTGGGTAAAATGGTTGACAATACTTATTCACCCTGAAAAAAAATAAAAGCTAGAAATGATAATATGGCCATATCTGATAAGATACATGCTATTCGTTTATTTCGCTATATCATGTGAACCTAGAGTTTTCAGAATGAAATAAGATGACGTAGCTTGGGGCTAACAAGTTCCAACCTAGAAGTATATAATTCAGGTAACCAAATGCTTCATTCAACAGCATATTTTCAACTTCCACCTCTTCTAGAAGTTTTCCGGAAGAAAAGCTGCTCAAATGAAATAATAGAAGAAATGCATAAGATTATTTATTTTAAAACAAGAAACACGTAATAACATTTTAGATACTCAGGAAGGAAAAACCATATGTTGAAGATGTTGTAGTTCATACAATGACAGAAACCGCGACAAATTGGTAAACCTGGATCACCATAAATCATGCCAATCATGATTAATTAAACTGGTGATGTTATAACTTAATCACAAAAGGACTCATCATTTTCTTAAGCACTTCTAAGTTCTAGAACGAGAAAAAACAGGCTACACATATATTAGTCTCTCTTCCAACCTCTAAAGGAAAAAAGCAGCTTAGAGTGGCACGATCATAGCACCATGTCAGAATGACGAAAGCAGATGAAAGTTCACCAAGCCTTCCTATCATCTGCTCTAGGTCTTATTAAGATAACTTGGTAGAAGGCAATCTATAAATTATTATTTCCGGTTTGAGCTGCTAAATATGATATCATTAGTGATATATGAGCGACTATTGCCAAATTATTTTGATCATAATTATTAAAATTCCTTTGCATTCCTCTAAAGGATTCCTTGCATATTACAAAAAATGTAAAAGCTAACGGAGACTAACAAATTGAAAGAAATGCTTCCTTTGTGAGTGATTTCAATTATTCCCTCCACTAGCCTCGACATTCTTTGAGCAATGATGCACAATCATGATGCAAGCCGTAAGCCTCAAGGCGTTCTAAGGTACAAGCCTCGGAGTTTGAACATTGCAGAGTCAATATTAAAGGTAAAAAAAATAAATTAGCATCATAACTTATAAACATATTAAAGAAATAAATATTAACATTCTAACACATTACGAAGTGGCAAATTGCATCTATATCAAATAAATAAATTGTGTAAACCGCAAAATATCATGTAACAACTTGCACAATGTAAAATTACAACGTGGACATCAACTGATCAAACTAACATAAAAAATGAAATAAAAAAAACATAAAATATCAAATTAAGACATAAGAGGAGTTTAACATGATAGATTTCCCACTTATATTGTCCAACAAAAAACATCCATAAATCTAAATAAGAACTTAATAAATAATCAAAGGCCCTTAACACTATCATCACTTAAGGGGTCTTCATTAAATTAATCATCATAATGAATGATTTTTTCTCGTCTTTCCTTCAGTTGAGTCTCAGTTCTCTCTTTTTTTTTCTCTTCTTCAACCCCAGCGGTGATGACTGTGACTGCAATGGAAGCAATGTGTGGCGGAATCGACAACAGAAAAGCTGACTAGGATGTTTTCATGAGAGGGAGATGGGAGATCCTATGTGAGAGATGTAGGGCAAGTGTGGGTTGCAAATTTGGTTCAAAATCAAACCATCTAATATAAGGGGAAAAAAATAGACAAATGAGGTAGAAGCCTCAATATAATTGAGTTGAGACGTTGCCACAATTTGATTAAGGAGAGGCGTATGTTGTACTTGTCATACAACTCAATATGTATTTTGTTTAATTATATCAAGGTGCACCTGCACAATTTTAAACATGGGCATGTGCTTTTTAAAATGGACTCGATGTCTTTTTCAAACATGTATAAGGCAAGAACATGGCATCTCCTACATCGCAAACTATGTCGTACTTATTTACAATAACTTTGAACTCGGCCATGGTGCACACATGGCAAGGACATAGCAAAACACGAATGCGGGACACGATGGGCACAGGCCAAGACATAAATAAAAAGGCATAGTTGTTTGTATTGAACCGACTCATTTCTTATCTCCTCAAGCCAAGACAATGAAGATAAGAAAGATGCAAAATACTTTCGAAGATATAACGATGATGAGGCTCTTTTCAAAGCCAAGCCACCATTGTTATAAAGTTGTGATATGAAGAAAAAGCTTACGGTGAATTGTATTTTGTCTCACCCAAGATTCAAAACAAAGGCCAATGGTGTGTTGGTTGGGCTCCTATAGGTATACAATCTACTTCATGGATATTTATAAAATTTATTATATAAAAAATATTTTATGAATGTTGTTTGGAAGTTTAACTCTCTTTTGAATTCAATACCACAGCATGAAGAATTATCAAAGTTCCATTTGTGTAGAAATCTAGTTAGATGCTATTTAGTGGTGTTATATGTGATGCTAATTTAGTAAATTTTTAGATTAGGTATCTCATTAAATTAATTGTTATTTTACAATTAAAATGGATTGACATTTATGAATACTTATTATTGCAAATTGTCATCTTTGAGTGTGATCAATTTATGTAATAACGATAAATTCAACTAGATAAAATTATTTTATATCATGTGTTAAAAAAGTTTATGAAATATGTAAGAGTACATGCCCATGTTTAAAATTAAGTCCATTTTAGAAGGATGTCTACAAAGAACGATTAAACAAAGTTAAATTCCTCCAACTTCTGAGAACTCACAAGTTACCACTCGCATTCACCAATGTATTACTAAAAAGAAAAAGAAACGCATAGAACCAAATTAAAAAACTATATCTGCAACTTCAAGTTCTTCAAGATGACAATCTACAATATTTCCAAGACGCACACTGATATTAGCACCTGTTACCATGTCATTCATACAATCGCTAAAGAAAATAACCACAGCAAAAATTTTATGATTACTATTATATTGAAAAAAAACTTCACCAGATGAAGGCAATGCATTATCATCAATTGAATCATGTTTATTATTATTTCTTGTGAAATTTAGAAGGAGCTTTTTTAGAGAAAAAAACTCCTTAATTTTCTCGTTCAACTAATACAAGCAAAAAACAAATATATAAATAGCTCTGACTAACCCTCATACAATTGGAGGAAAACTCAAATCAACATGATGAGAAGAGAAATAAAAACGAAATAATGGATAAAGAAGGGAGAATAATTTCTCCCTTTCAACTACAGTTATGGACCCACGGATTCCTAAACGGCTAAACCGTGGGTGGACCCATTTGGTTCAAGGTTATATGCATATCAACACTCTCCCTCAAGTTGGGATGTATGACATCCTAAACTTGCTACTGAGATCAATAAATTGATCTTGAGGAATAGCCCTAGTAAGAATGTCAACAATTTGATATTGAGTTGGATATAGCATAGCCGGACAAACCCTCCATTGACCATCTCCAAGATAAACTGCATGTCAATCTTTATATGTTTGATTCGACCATGGTGTACCTGATTCTTTGAAATACTAATAGTTGATTGATTACCATTAAACATCTTAATGGTGTTTTTGTTCTCTATGTGTACTTCCACTAGTAATTTCTTCAGCCACATCCCTTCACAATTTCCTATGTGACAGATAAATAGTTTTCTACAACTCTTTGATACCTCCCTTTTTCAATTGGGTGTAAACCTCTCCTTTTGATGTTTGTTAATTGGGATCCACAGAAGAATCTGTTGGTTTGCACCCCAACATTCATGTCTCCTTTAACAAGTCAAGAATATATTTTCTCTAGGATATGAAAATGCCTTTTCTGGATGTAGCTATTTCCATTCTCATGAGGTATCTTAAATTTCATGATATTTGATTTTAACTCAAAAGTCATTCTTATTTTGATTGTTTTAAGTTCCCTTACATCATTGCCTATAAGAATAATGTCATTTACATATACAATAAGAATGGTTATCATAAATTGTTGATTCGATTTCATAAACAAAGTGTGATCAATCTAATACTGATAATATACATTGGCAAGAATAGTCTTGTGAACATTTCAAACCATGTTCTAGGAGATTATTTCAACCCATTCAATGATTTCATTAGTTTGCACACATGTTTTTTAATCTTGGAGATGACTCCATATACACTTCTTTCTCAAGATCTCCATTAAAAAATGCATTTTTGATGTCTAGCTGATGTAATGGCCAATCCTGGTTGACAGTCAATGACAGTGATGTTTTTACTGTGTTGAATTCTTTCACTGGTGCAAATGTCTCTTGCTAGTCAATCTCATAAGACTAAGTGAACTCTTTTACTACAAGTCTAGTCGAATCTTTTCTATGCTCTCATATTCATTTAACACAGAATAACCATTTGCGCCTATAGTTTTCCCAAGAAACAGGGTTATTATGATTCAGGTATCGTTCTTTTCAAGGGCAAGAATTTCTTCTTCCACAAGTTTTCTCCATGCAATAATAAATAAGGCTTCTTGGATAGAATTTCGGACATGCACGATATCCAAGTACCGAACAAAGCATTTCTAATAGGATAATCTTTCATAAGTCAAATTCTTTCATCAAGTGTTTATTTCTTATACTCCTCTTGTTTCTCATGATGTGTTGGCCCAACCGTTGTGTAAATATTTAGGGTGTGTGAAGTTAGTTCGAGTGATTTACATTCCTGACTTTGCATAT